AGAAAGTTGAACAGCTTCTCCATGAGTATGGCCTTGATTTGAGTAAATTTGTGTGTTTATCTACTGACGGTGCTGCCAATATGGTTGGGAGACATAATGATGTTGCTGCCAAGTTAGGTACAAAAATAGAAAACATATCCAGATTCAATATTCAAGCATTTTCATTGTATAATTCATCAACAGAACTTAAGTTCTAAGATTTTAAAATTAGATCATGTGTTGAGTTTTGTCATAAAAACAGTGAACTGTATCAGAGGTTGTGCTCTGCATCACTGTTAGTTTAGCCAGTTATTGGAAGAGTGAATAATCAGTTCATAAATGTCCAATTTTACACAGAATTTCAGTGGATATCATGTCACAAAATTGTTATGTTTTTGGAGATGAAGGGTCAAAGCAGAGATGAATTGAAAGATGAAAGCTAGCTCCAAGATCTAGCTTTTTCAGTGGATATTGCCCAATTAAGTGACCTTAATTTGAAATTACAAGGTAAAAATAAGCTCATCACTCAGTTATATGATGATATCAAGTGTTCCATTGCAAGCTTTATTGAAGTCCCAGTTGTCTCATGAAAACTTGATTCATTTTCCTATGTGCAAGGAGTTGAAGAAACTGACAATATTGAGTCTATCTTTGCTAAGTACGACAATTACCTGGAATTGTTGTCAAAGGACTTTCAGTGAAGATTTTGTGATTTTTCATCTTGTGAAGATCAGTTTGCATTATTCTCAGCACCATTCACTTTTGATGTTGCTCAGGTAGAGGAAAGTCTAAAGATGCAACTACTGGAAATGCAGACTGACTCAACTTTCAAGGGAAAGTACCCAGAAGTAAGAGTACCTGGATTTTTTTCATACCTTCCTCAGACATTTAAGAACTTCAGAAAGTTTGCTACAAAGATTATGATGATGTTTGGTTCCACATATATCTGTGAGCAGTTATTTTATTTTATGAAGGCCACAAAAATGTCTCACAGAATCAGATTAAATGATGAACATTTGTCATCTTTGATCAAAGTGGGATCTACACATACATTCCAACTTGATATATCAAGAATAGTTTGTCTAAAATTATATCAGTCATCAGGACAACATAAAAATGATTAATTTGTACTACCTTGTGTTGTAAGTATTTTTTATTTAAAGTTTAGTTACCACTAGCTGTGATTAATGTAAGACTGTAAGCAGGTGAACCCTTCAAGGTTGCAGATATGGCTCACACAGCCCTCTATATGCTCTGAGTTTGACATCCTAATGTACATCAATCTCCCAATTGATGTACATGATTCAGAACTCGAAAAAGGCAGTTACATCACAACCAAATAAGGAAAAGGTACTTGAACAATATGAATAACCAAAAAGAAGAGCTGATGGAGGTTATTTATGACATGAGGTACCAATGCCTTTAGTAGCCCTAGATAAGAGATGTTTGAGTAAGCGAAAGAGGAAATTGACAGGGATTATACAAATAAACCCGTAAAGACAAAAATATGAGTTCCGGCGTAAGTAGTAAATTCAAAGAAGGGGGATGTTGTGGAATAACAGAGCACCCCCACAAGATGGACTAATCTAAAAAGATAAATAGCATGCTCTCTTACTGAGAGAGTGGAAGTTGAACAGAACTGAGGTGAAGTTCATGATTAACTGTTATTACAGTAAACTGTGTTCTTGACTGTTAGTACCATATTATTCTTTGAAATAAATTGCTACTACTATTTATATTATGTATTGACTTATCCATTTCATGATACAACATATACATATAAAACACCTTTAAAAACCTTCAATATCCTCATTATTTCATCCACAACACTAGGAAGGAAGGCATACAGAATATACAACTACAAAAAAGATAACAACAACAATAAGAATAAACTAAATAAAAATAGATATATAATACTACCTACTAACTCCATAACATCTATTTAAAACAACTTATTCAACCTTAACAATGTCAAAATAATTACAACTATATCCAAAACAATTATGGATGTGATAAAAACCCAAATTATCCATAACAATAATTCTGAAGCAGATATATAAAAAAAAATGTCACAACTGTTCCTAACACTATATTGGGGAAATTTGCAGAAATTTAAAAAAAAACATATCTATGAACACAAAAAGGATCTTAAACAGAATTTATCAAATACATTAGTCATACATAGAAATAAGTTGAACTACAACTTTAATCTAAAGAATGCCACAATTATTAAAAGAGAATGTAACTTACTTAGACAGAAAATTCTTGAGAGTGCGATAAGAATTAAATCCTATATATATTATTCAACCAATAAAATCCCATCAGAAGGTTTGTTTGAGAAACAATCATTACAAAGGCAAATACTGCCAAAATATTTGGCTGACATAGTTGTAGATCTACTACATGTTATGTTTGGGCCACTTAGAAAATAACAGTAATAACTCTTTTCAGCACTCCCACAAATTTGAGAAAAAGATTTTTGAAAGCCAGTGTGAAATTATTTTCTAATTAATGAAAAACTTGTATTCAAGAAGTTCACACCTCGATGTGAAATTATATTTTGGATTTCCCTTATATAAAAATAGAAGCAAACTAGAAGCTTTTTGAGGTTCAAAACAATTTCAGAGGCAAGACATGTGCATATACATGCATCTACACACATGCACACAATGGAAGAGATGATCCAGCAGCCACCAACTAAGGCTTTATCCATGCACTGACTAGGCTGACCATCATAAAGTAAGTGTCCACACATCTCACATCACAATAAGAACACTTAATTACTTGATAAAACAAACTTTACTGCAAGAAAACTAAATTGTTATTGTATATTTTTGAGAAGAAATGTTATTTCAACTGACATTCTGCTTCTATTTTTCCTTCAGTGAATAAACCTTTTTTAACTATATTTAAAAGATGTGTTGTTAAATGTTTAGAATCCTGACACTCAGATAGCAACAAAAACTTGAATAGATGGATCCAAACAGTGCTGTTATTGGATCTTACTAAAATATAAATCTATACCCCAGATTTTTTCAAATATCTCTTTTCTTAAAGGAAATACTCCTTTTCTAAGCCAACATACATGACTATAAGAATTTAAAAAAAAAAGAAAAGTTAAACTAAAAACCTTCTATTATTTAAATATATAATACATAAATTAATTTCCCAAATGAAAATAATATCCTATTATAATTGTGTTTGTCTTGCCATTTGTTAGTTCACACAACCATTATGTCCTGCCAATACCTTATAAATAATGGACTATTCCATTTTGATCATGTGGAAAGATGGAAAAAACACTACTTGGTTTCAGTGAGAAAAATACAAAAAAAGAAAGAAGGGAAGATAGAAGTGTTTCAGTGAAATGGAAAAAGTTGTCAATTTCAAATCTTTTCATTTGTACCCACTTCTTAAAATAATGTCCAGCATTCATATTTATGATTGTTATTGCAATATTTTGTTGTAAAACTCAAATATTTAATGATGTGATAGGGAAATTTCTACAGATATTTTATTGTCATAAAATTTACCATGAGCTTACTCAATCATTAACTTAAGAATTAAGATTAATCAGAAAATTCAAATATAGAAACTGTGAAATTTTCACAGATTAAAACTAATAAATAATAATTACATTAAATCAAAAAAATTCAACAATAACAACATTTACTCATTTTCACTTATTAGACATTATATTACATCACTTAGCATCTTCCATAATTTACCTTGTTCTTAAATTTCAAAATTCTGAAAAACTAATGGCATTTTTACTTCTGTTTATAAATATTTGTTGCAAAATAAAATCTTTACATTTACCTTGATAAAGTCCATCAGATGAGAAAATGCATCAGCTAAGAAAAGTTTTCATTTTGGTGAGTTCATCACATTCACTTTTGTGTAAATACCCTTGGAAAAGATATCAATCCATGTCTGTTATCCACAACTATGGGTTTAATGGCAGGGCAAAGTGGGCACTTTAGCCTTGGGTGGCAACCAGTCTACAAGGACAACTCTGAATTCAAAACCATATGTATCCCTTGTTTAGCACATACTATGCAGCCATTGACAAGATCATGGAGTTCATAATGGCTCTATAATCTTGAATGTGGTTGACCTAAAACTTTGTCAATGTATTATTATTATTATACATGTGCAGAAGAGAAGAACTATGCTTCCTGAACAATGGTAGTTATGTGATGGAGTCTATAAGGTGCTGGAGTCATTGCTTGGGTATATTTATTTAAGGCTGTCCATAACTGAATTGGGTTTGTTCAGTATAGCAAGCAGAGAATTTAATGAAGTTTGAAATGTTCCTCTACATGCACAATAGGGTTTAAATCTTTGAGTGTGGGCCTAAAGGAGTACCTGGAAAATCATCTGGAACTAGTTTCATATCACCTATACATTGCTAAGTCTGCTGCTGTGTTGTGTTAGACAATTTCTTGCCAGAAACTATCTTGCACATTTATGTCTACCATTCATCAATACATTGAATATTGCTACCACATCTGGTCTTGTGCTTTTGTTTTATATCTAGAGATTCTTGACAAAATCCAAAGAAGAATCTGTAACATTATTGATCCTGACCTGGCATCTTGGCTTCAATCACTTTCCCACTGCTATGGCGTGGCTTTTCTATCGATATTTTCACAATAATTGTTTTCATCTCTCCTCTTTGGTGCCTTGACTTCACGGATTTATATGCAGTACTAGATTGGCAGATCTCATAACTTCACTGTTGAAATTGCTAGTTGTAACCGTATTTTAATAGTTTCTTCTGCTCTTCTCACTTGTGAAATTCTCTTCCTTGAATTTTGTTCCCTTATTGTCCTCTCTGTTTCTTTCACTCTCACTCCGAAAATTTATAAAATTCAAGAGAAAGACAGTTATCTCCCTTGTAACGTAGCACTACTGTTTTCACACGCCTCCATTTGTTTAGAATCGGCATGGATATTTTAATAATCCTTACGCTCACATGGATTATCTTGTTTATTTTTTTCATTATTGCTTTGCAGTTTATGTATGGCAGAAGACCTAAGCTCTCTTTGAAGAATGCTCACATTCTCGTAAGTAATTCTTTTCTTTAAATAACACTACTAAAGAAAAAATCGTAAGTCACCGACTCATGCGGCGGAACTGTTTTTTTTTAACTATGGTAGTTATTTCATTCCTTTTTTTTAAATTGAGCATCATAAGAAGTCCTTTATTTTTCGATAACTAAAAACGAAATCTAATAACAAGATAGAAACAGTTAATTTAATTGGTAATACTTAAACAACGATTGCAAACAGCATATTTTTTCGCAACTTTGCTCATTTCCCCGTCCTGCACCGTCACGGATTTTTTTTCTCCTTGGGTTGAGATTTTCTCGACATTGAATTGTATGTATTTTTTAAAACTCCATGTAATTTATAAATTTGAAGCAAGAATATTTTTAAAAACTATTGTTTCAAAAAAAAAAAAAATAATATAAATTTCAGTTCATCAGGTGTAAATTTGCCTTTCAGCTTTTATTTACTATCGAGTTTTTATTTTAAAAACATAGTTTTTTTAAAAATAAATCAATGGAAATTGCTTAACAAAATTGACCAAATGAGAAGGAATCAAAATGTTCTCTTAGACCCGTTTAAGAGGAAAATCATTTCAAGGTTAAAAAAAATGTGAAATTAAAAAAGGCTGTGATCTTAAGTTCGGGTGTGGATCGGAAAATTTCCTCCAAATCCTAAAAACGTGATTTTTATAAACAAGCAATTGTTTTTTATGGCTTTTAGTTTTACTTTTAATTTAAATAAAAATATTTTTTTTTTTCCCTGAACGTGGTAACCACATTAGTATTTAGATCAGAGCTTGCTTGTTGAAAGTTTCAGCTTGAAAGTAAACAAAAAGAAACATTAACATTTTTTATGGAAAATTTATAAAACTAAATTTTAATTTCTGAATTTAATTTTTTTTTTTTTTTTTTTTTTTTTATCAAAATAATGAAATTACTAAATTTGTTTTAATAATGGAGTTACTTATCATTATTGATTTTATTTAAAGAAAAGAACAACTATTTTATTTTCATCATTAAAAATGAATCTGTGAACATTCATTTTATTTTCTATCCAATAATATAAACTTTAATTATCCTTACAGTAAGATCACAATGATTTTAAATAAATATTACAATATTAATATGACTGATGGAATAGTCCGTACATACCTTTTCACCCTTCCGGAATAATACACTCTACCACAAAATTACCTATTAACCAATCAACACCCTAGTTCCAGTGAACTAGACTTTTCATTGGCTCAAACTGTAGCAAATTCACGCAAAATATCTTTTTGCGCCTTGACGTTTGGAGCCGATTCCTACTTCCAGAACAAAATAAAAGGAAGCTTTCAGATCGATTCAATCAGTCAGAATTTCATCCTGGAGAAGTGCCAAACGAATCCACATCAGTGAAAATCATAACCAGCTACATTTTTGCTGCGCAAATTTCTCTGACTCAACACACGCAGCATTTTGCTCTACCAGGAACAATTTCTTACTATACTAAAAAGTGATAATAACTCACTACTAACTCAATCAAATATCTAAACAATCCAAGGTAAACAACTCTGGAGAATTTAGAGAATTAAACTCCTACTGTATTCACGCATACAAACTACACAAATTTCTGTATAAATAATATTTTCCACTTAACTCTGTTTGACCAGTTCTTAAACACTTGAACAATCAATAAGAAACCCAATTGTCAATTTCTTGCATTATCAAACTACAAGTTTTCAAATTGTATATTAATTGTACATAAATGCATGTTGTTTTATTGAAATCTCATAATTTGTGTTTCTTACTCAATTGCCTTGTGATTCATTTTTGAATGTCTATATTCTATATTGTTGTAGATTAATATGGTGAACATGCCCGTAAACTAACCATCTTAATATAAAAACCTTCTAATAACAAATTCAAACTCGTAGCAATCCCAACATGACGAATAATAATACGAACTTAAGCAATGTCCAACCTAGTCAGAATCTAGATGGGTGACCACTTGGGAACATCAGGTGCTGTAAGCTTGGATGTGCATGTACTGTAGTGTAATGGATAATGCCTCAGAATTGGAAATTGGAGAGCCAATTTTTTAATTAGAGTTGGGTCCATTTTATTTACTTATGCGCAAATACCCTTGAGAAAGATATTAATCTGCTTCTCCCTCCTGCCCTAGTTATGGGCTAATTAGTAAAAAATCAATAGAAATTAATCAGTAAAAGTCCTTATTCCCCAAAATTCTTAAAATATTTTCTGGCTTTAAATAACTTGTAAAAGTCAATCAGTCAATCTCAGTTCAACAGCAGAAACCTGTCATACTCAATATTCCCAATTGCCATAGTGGAGTTGTGCATTTAGCATTGTATAAATTGAACAGTGAAATAAACAATTTTTTGGTTTCTTGAATTTGGATTTTAATATCTTGAAAATTTTTTGTAATTTGAGGCAAAGACTTTCAGGAAAAAATGAGTGAGCCATATTTAATGTGTTTGCTGCTAAATATTAAGGATGACCAGCCTGTTTATGCCTAAGCATAAACAGGCTGATCATCTTTGTTATTATACCAAAAGGTCAAGGGAATGTAATTAAGATATGACCTGTTTTGCTTTTTTTTTTTTTTTTTTTTGCTTTCTTCTTTGCTCTTAGTATTAATGAAAATCTTTTCCCTGAGTGTATTCAATTTCTTTCCTTTGCTTTCTTCACAGCAAATTTTTCGCTTCTTTCGCTTCACATAGTGTTTTTTTTCTTTGAGAACCCTTTCTTTCTTATTTCTCCTTGCTATGCTCTGCCTTCTTATCTTTTAAGGATAAACTTTACTTTCATTTTTTTTCTTAATATTAGTTTTTTATTTAATCATTTCACCCCAAGCAAAGCAATAAAACCATTAATACGTAAGGGGTTACTAAGTGTTAGGGAATATGAAAAAAAAAAAAAATTATTATTAAGAAACAAGGACAAGAAAAGACAGAAGATAATGATTGACATTGCATTTAAATTTTTTGAAAATAAAAGTTAACTGGGAAGCAAGAAGCCAGGAAAGTGTTCTACAAGTGAAAAGTGTTATATCAGAAACTGTTAGCATAAAAGTTACGGTTATATCTAACTGTAAAATGATGTGACCTTGCCACCAATCTTGCATAAATTCATAAAGGCAAAAATTCCATAAAGGAAAGTTCATCAGCACAATTGCCATGAAAGTATTTATAAAAAAGGCACAGGGAAGCTAAGTCAAGACCAACAACATTGCAGATTTTTCTTTGTATTTTATCAAGAATCTCTAAATATATAGCAGATGCACCAGTCCAGATGTGATAACCATATTCAAAGCAAAGAAAAATGGTAGACATAAATATGTAAGATACATTCTGGAGAGAAAAATTGTCTAGCACAACACTGTGAACCAACTTTCTTAGCAATAGACCTAACAATTGATTCAATATACTCTTTCCACTTCATGTCACTGGAAAATGAGAAGGCACAATGTGTCACTCTATTTGAGGTTAGCATCAGCCATGCTGACGAAAGGTAAAACCGATTTTTTTTTTTCAGATGATTAATAGAGAGCAGTTACATTGAGGAGGTATTAAAATTAACAAGCCATTCCTTGCTTGAGTTACGAACAGATTGTAGGTCATTTTGAGATTTGCTGCCAATTTAACTTTATTGAACTGATCAGACTTACTATTAAGACAGGAGTAAATAGTTATTAGCAACATAGATACTGAGTTGAGAACTGATGACATCAGGAATGTCATTTCTCAAAATTAGGAACAACCTAGGTTGAAGGATAGAGCTCTGGGGGAGGGGACACCAGCATTAATGCAAAAAGATCTAGAAGAGTGGCTATTCAGGATAACTTTCATTTCATGATTTGATAAGAAAACTGTATCAGTTCAAAAATCTATCCAGAAATATCATAACCTTTCAACTTGTGAAAAAGACCAGTATGTCAAACCATGTCAAATGCTTTCGAAATACCTAAAGCAACAGTCCAAGCTTCACCATTCTTATCTAAAGTTGATCTAGAGAAGTGAAAGCCATATAGCTTATCTGAAAGAAAAGCCTGTGAAGTGAAATGCTTAAGCAATTCAATTAGAACCTCTAATACTTTGTCAAAAGGAAGTAGAAGGCAAAGTTACAAAGATCAGACTGTGGTTCACCTGAGTTGATAAAGACTGGAACTGCAGAAGAGGATTTCCAACAAGCAGAAAAGCAAGATGTTTATTGTAGAGTTTAGACAGAGGAGGAGCCAGTTTAGGTGCACATTTCTTTTCACATTTCAGGACTATTGCAGGGATACTATCAAGTCCACATGCTTTGTGAGGTTCCAGTTTAGAAATGATAGCAGAAACCATGGACTAATTTAAATTCTTCTATTGCTATCAATGAATTCTTTGTTTTTCCTCTTTGTTGAAAAGATTCTAGGATACATATGCATTGACTTGATGTTTATATTTATAAATTTTTTATAAATGTTTATAAATTTTGCAAGGGAATTGTCTCAGTCAAATAGTGGATTTTCCTACTTGTTTCCCTAATAAATCTGATTAACATTCTTCCATACTTGATTTGTTCCTTACCTCCTCTCCTAGTTGTTGTAGAGCCTCACAACTCTGTCCTCTTGTTAATTTGGATCATGCTGTATCTGTTGATATTTCTTTTGAGTTGGCTATTAGAAAGGTACCTTGTATTCACGAGACTTCTTTATGTTGCTGGTATAGTGGTTGGGATTCATTTTGTGACTTTATTTGAGACAACACTTGGATTGATATTCTTAACCTTCTTATTGAGAATGGTGCTGCTGAGGTTTCTTCTTGGGTTAAAGCCAACATTGATGCTTTTGCACTTTCTCAAAAATATCAGGTGAAACTAAAATCTTGGTTCATACTGGCCTATTCAGCCACAATGTCCCACAGGAATCACTTTTTCCTGCTGTACCAGCATGACAGTACTGATCACAACAGACATCTATATGTGTTTGCTCACATTAATTGTAAATCTGTCCTCAAAGAGGCTAAGTCTTAGTTGGTAGAATGAGGTCCAGTATAGCTTTTAACAAATTTGGTTATTGTGACTGGTATAGCTCAAGTTAAACTTACATTTTCAAAGTGGTCTTAGTATTGGGTGTGAGGGTGGGGCTGGATCTATTTGATTGAAGTTTAAGTATCCCTCTTCAGCTTTCAGGAGCTTCTGTATGGTCTCTGTATTAATTAGAGGAAACCTTATCCAGTTAACTGACGGCTCAGTGGGAAAGTATTGTTTAGTCTTATTCAATTACACTAGTAAGTCTAGGTTCAGATCTAACTCTATTATTTCCTGATCAAGACCTTGATTATCTATGTGTTAATAGAATCATCTCTGAATGCAATATAATTTTGTTGTTAATGATGATAGTGAAGGTGATACTGTCATGAATTCTGTTTAGTATTTTTACAAAAATAAAAATTAACCCATAAGTCTGTGAGGCACGAAACATGCACTTAAAAGAAAATGCAACTGAACTTCCCCAGATTCACTGTTTTAGGAAAAGACTTAATGATTCAATATTAATTTTTAAGTAAAAAAATAAAATTCAGTAGTGGTTCAGAGGATCATGCTATAACTATTCATTAGGGAAGAAGAGATTAAAGTTCTAAGCTAACCATTTCATTTTTTTCCTTGTAATCATTAAGAGTAAGTGAAAACTTTGGCACATTCTACTATGTTATGTAAAGAACTTTTCTTGAGCCTCAAAAAGAATTATTGCTTTTAAAGTAAATTTTTGTTTTTTACTATGCTTAACACATTAGTCACATACTCTTATTTGCAGTACACTTTTGGTTATTGATGTTCAATCTTTCTCTTTTGTAGGTTACAGGTGGCTCTAGTGGAATTGGCAAATCTGTAGCCATCTATGCTGCTTCCAAAGGAGCAAGTGTATCACTGTTTGCAAGAAACCAGGTTTGCAGAAATCTTAAAATATTTTTCATGTTGTAAAAGTAATTAAATATAATTTTTTCTATACTACTTTGCTTCCATAAAGTACTTTTATGCTACAAAATAAAGAGTATTGCTAGGAAAACCACAGCTGTTTGAGGTTTCCTATAGCCCCACTGAACTTAAATAAAGTCAATTCAGGTTTGCTATGGTAAAAATTTTCTTTCCCAAGTAAAAATCATCACAAAAATGGCAAAAGTCATTTTGTCACAGCTTATTTTCTCTGAAAAAATGGATTTTCATACTTTTAGAGGGGTAAAATATTGAAAAATGACTGTTTTATCATCATCTAAACAAATATCAAGGAAACTTTTGATCTGAATCCCATGAAACTAGGTATTTGATCCCCCCCTTCAAAATGCGACAAAGTCCATTGGTAATTTTCAATTATATGACTGCCAAGGGTTAAAAAAATTGGACCTGTACGGAAAAGGCAAAAAAAATTTATCTGCAATTCCTGACCACCAGAAACCAAAAAGTAAAAATTAAGCCAAATTGACTTTGACATGTCTGGGTCAAAGGTCAGCCAGCCAGCTAGCAATAAATGTTTAGAACAAGTTGTCGTCAGCTTGTAATAAAACCCACCACTCTCAGATAAGAGCAAAGAGTGAAAAAAAGGGGGTCAACATTGGTAGGGCTTGATATAAGGTTTTTTTTTTTTTTTCAAAGCTAATGGCTTGTGTTTTGTTTTGTTTTGTTTTTAAGACCCCATAACCTGGGTGATGACAACAACACTTAGCAGACGACATTGTTTTATTTGCCGCATGTCTTTCGTATTTCCCATCACTGGGCCATTTAGCTGTTCCTTTTATTCAATGATGTTCAGGCCAAATTAAGGAGAAATGGATGAAGTTCGAATGATATTATTTTGAGGTGAAAATAAACCTTTTTTCATAAAAAAAAGGTGATTTTTCTCAGAAAATTGGGCATAATTTCTTAATGCTAACTGCCGAATGACATTTTCCACAGCCAAATCGAAGATTAATTACCAGTGAATAATTCCATGTGCAAACAATAGCCGTCAGGATCCTATAATGTCGCCTGAAAAGGTCCAAAAGTTAACTGATTGATCAAAAACTTGTTGTGCATAATTGTTTTTCATGGTCAGTTTCCATTATTTCATCTTGGTGTTGTCATTTATGGACAGCCAAGTCATCAAGGATTTAGGAAAACAGTTTGGCACAGGTTTGCTTTAAGAACTTTACATTCTATGAGGTGTTTAAAATGTTACTGATGAATGGGATTTTTCGCTGAATATTTTGTTTACGCGCCATGTTGGATTTTCCTATATGACAAAAATAAGCATTTTAAACAGCCGTGACACCAACCCTGAATGAATCCATACACACTTTTCATCTGTTGCTTTGTTGGCATCCTAAACAAATAATTTTTAGAGTTAGAGTGATATAACTTTTGTGTAAATAGTTTAACAGATACAATAGAAGTACTACAACTTAGGAATGGATGGCTTGAGTGTTCTGATACTTATTCAAGCAAGGATTATCAATTTAAATTCACTTTCTTTTTATTAATAACCTAAATTAACTCGGCTGTATTATTTTTTATGATGAATGAAGACACATAACACATATCTTAGGATCTAGCCAGCTTCCTTTATTCACTATATGCTTTTCTCACCCCCTCCTCCCTGCCGCCTGGTCGGTGGGGCATCAGAATACGCCGACTGCCCCCCTGCAGAGGGTAAAAGTCCCTCAATGGGGCCACCTGTTGGCCGTGGGTGGCGACCCATAATGTCTGGGGACGGGTTCCTGGTGGTTGAGCAGGTTGTAACCCAGGTGTAAAGCGGTCACAATCCTGTAACACACCACTTTGGCCCTTACCTGGGCTAGACGGGCGGTCGGAGGGGCCCGATCCGATCAATCGGCTGGTCATGTCAAGCCCCATCCTATATAATCCACCCCAAACCTATAACTGACACTCCTCTTCCCAACCAAAACTAACACTTAACCCTAAATATGTGATGGAAGGCGGTGGCTGAGGGTCAATCAATTTGGGAGAAAAAAAGGATCTGACACACTTGCTAAACTTTCACAGCCGTAATACTTGGAAAACAGAAACAAAGGAACATGCGTGCTCAAAGACTCCTCCCAAAGAGAGTATATCATTCACGTAGCCTCGACATGGCAAGGCGAATGGGTTTCCCCCTGTCATGTCCCAATATTGGACTCCATTTGGGTAGGGAGCGAGAATGATGAACAAAAATAAAAACAATCAATGGAAAAAAAGAAATCTTCCAAGAGACCACATGTGGATAACGACTCGGAAACAGAAAATGATAGTGAAAACTTTCCACGATTTATAGTACTCGAAGCAATAAGCAAAAAAGCATTAACAGAGATTTCTCCGTTTAAAATACAAAAAGCAATATCAAATATCATTATACCAAAAAATGTAAAAAAATTACAAAATGGAACACTACTAGTAGAAGTGGAAAAAAAGATATATGCGGACACATTAATAAGACAAAAAAAACTACAAGAAATAGAAATAAAATCCTACCCACACCAAACCCTAAATTTCTCAAAGGGAGTAGTAAAAAGCAAGGAGCTCTCCCTGTGCACTCTAGAGGAGATAAAATAGAACTCCAAACTCAAGGAGTTACAAATGTCAAAAAGAATAACAATAAAGAAAAATGAAGCAGAGATACAAACTAATACCTACATTATAACTTTCAACTCCCCCCAAATTCTGACAACAATTAAAATTGGATATGAAAGTATAAAAGTAGAACAATACATACCAAACCCTCTTCAATGCTATAGATGCCACAAATTTGGGCATCACAGAGATTCCTGTAGAAATAAAAAAATATGTGGAAAATGTAATGAGAAAGAACCAGAACATAAAGAAGAGGACTGCCCAAATGAGAGCCTATGCTCAAACTGTTTGGGAAACCACTCTGCCCTCTCAAAACAATTCAGTATATATAAACAGGAGAAAGAAATAATTAGAATAAAATACAAAAAAAAATATATCTTTCATAGAAGCACGAAAGGAAGTTAAAAATAACATAAAAGAAAACACCTATGCTTCCATGGCACAAAAAGCAAATAAAATAAACAATGAAGATAAAATAAACAGTTCAATTGAAATAACAAATTTATGCAAGGAATTAAAAGCTTTCCTTGAAGAATTAAAAACCTTTTTAATCGAACTTAAATCGGATCAAAATAAAACTCAACAACCCAGATCAAATGGAATAAACCCAGAAGAAGGCAAACAATTTTGGAAAGAAAATGCAGAACAAAACTCCAGCGAACACTCTTCTTCCCAAACCCAAACTAAGAAAATGAAAAATAAACAAAAAGACAAAAAAGTGACAACAGAGCAAGAAAGCACGCGATCAAAATCTAACTCAAAATCAAGAATCAATATATCAAATGAAAATAAATTTGAGCCTATGGAATATATGGAAATAGAAGAGAAAGAAAATAAACAAAATTCAAAACAAAACCAAAAATCTGACCGAAGGACACCACAAGCAGTTGAAGACAAAGCTTCTAAAAACTCAAGAGATGGAAAAAAACTGGAGAGGACAAATGATATAAACCTAATAGGTAACTTTACCCCCAAAAAATGAAAATATAACCATGGCACATAAGATCCTGCAATGGAACTGTCGTTGAATAAAATCTAATTACAATGACCTACTCATACTTATGTCACTACTGTATCCAGCCGTCGTCTGCTTACAGGAAATTTTTTTATAAGAAAATGCTAACTTAAAAATCAAAAATTATAAACAATATCACTATAACCACAATACAGGACATAGAGCTAATGGAGGAGTGTCAATATTGATTAGAAATGACATACCGCAAAGTAAAGTACACATTAAAACTAAATTACAAGCAATAGCAACACAAGTGACACTAGATAAAACCATCACAATTCTTTCCATTTATATACCCCCACATGAACCAATAAATACAACAGAAATAAACAACTTGATGGAGCAACTTCCTAAACCCAGAATCTTACTAGGAGACTTTAAGTCATAATCCTATATGGAATAGCAAAAAGCTAGATACTAAAGGTAAAATATTAGAAGAAATAATTAACACCCATAACTTATGTCTATTAAATCATAAATCCTCAACCTACCTTAATCCCTCCAATGGAACAGAATCATCAATAGACTTAAGTATATGCGATCCAGAAATTTGTATGGATTATACATGGAAAACACATAGCGACACATGTGGCAGTGATCATTACCCGATCATTCTAGAAAATCAAAAGCCTGCCAAGGAAGAAAAGATAGGCCCCATCAGATGGAAACTGAAAAGAGCCAACTGGGAGGGTTTCAAAAACAAATGTAAACAATTACTGATACAGTCAAAGGACACAGACAACTCAATAGAATACTTTACCAAAACATTAATAACCATTGCCTCAGAAAATATACCAAAAAAGCAAAATAATTATAAAAAAAACTAAACCCTGGTTTGACAAAAACTGCCAAAAAGCAGTCAGAAACCGGGAAGCAGCATTGCGAAAATTCAAAAAGGAACCCACAACCCAAAATTTGATTGAAATGAAAAAACTTCAAAGCAGTAGCACGGAAAATTGTTAAAGAAGCCAAAAGGGAATGTTGGAAAAAAATATGTAAACAGCTTAAATATACATTCCAAAACCAAGACAATATGGGAAATGATGAGAAAAATAGCTGGAAAAAATCAAATATACCCAATAATACATCTTAAAAAGGACAACACTAAAGCAACTAGCAAAAAAGAGATAGCAAACCTACTAGCAGAGACATTTGCAGAAAACTCTAAAATGAGCAAAAATCAAAACCTACAAAAGGGTAAACAAAAAGATATAAATAACCAACTAAATTTTTCGTCTAAAAATACAGAAGCCTACAACAATCTATTCACCGAAGCAGAACTAATAGAAGCCATAAAAAAATCCCATAATACAGCAGTAGGCCCAGACCAAATCCACTATGAATTTATTAAACAACTACCACAAGAATCGCTGAAATACCTTTTGAATATTTTTAACAATATTTGGACTACTGGGAAATTTCCCAAAATATGGAGAGACTCTGTAATTATTCCCATACTCAAAGAAGGAAAAGGGGGAAACAATCCACAAAGTTACCGACCAATAGCATTAACAAGCTGTCTATGTAAGAAAATGGAGCGAATGGTCAACGCCAGATTGAGTTGGTTTCTAGAAGAAGGAAAACACATATCAAAATATCAATGTGGATATAATAAAGGAAGAAGTACAATAGATCACATAATAAGACTAGAAACAGCCATAAGAGAGGCCAATTTAAACAAACAACATCTAATAGCCATATTCTTTGATATAGAAAAAGCATTTGATCAAACCTGGAAACATGGTATAATGAAAGATCTGCATAAACTAGGATTAAGAGGTCGACTACCAAACTTTGTAAAAGGATTTTTAACAGATAGACTCTTCCAAGTACAAATAGATGCTACACGTTCTGATTATCAAAAGCAAGAAGAGGGAGTACCACAGGGAAGTGTACTCTCCCCTACACTTTTCAAAATAAAAATAAATGACATAATAAAAAACATCAAATCAGGAATACACTGTAGCCTTTATGTTGATGATTTTACAATATATTACAGATCGAGAAACCTCAACACAGCAGAAAGACAACTTCAACAATGCTTACATCAAATAAACAAATGGACACTCGAAAACGGTTTTAAAATATCAAAAACAAAAACAAAATCTGTACACTTCTGCCAACTGAAAAAAATTACACAATAACCCAACTCTAAAACTAGGAAATGAAGAAATACCAGTAGTTCAGCAATATAAATTTCTAGGAATGATCTTTGACAGCAAACTGACCTTCAGACCCCATATCAATTACCTAAAAACAAAATGTTTTAAAGCTCTCCAACTACTGCGAACATACAGAATGGGGAGCTAGCAAAGAAACCCTTCTTAAACTTTATAGAACGTTGATCCGCTCCAAACTGGACTATGGCAGCATGGTCTACCAATCAACTAGAAAGTCTTATCTAAAAAAAAAACACAATACACCATGAAGGCCTTCGGATAGCTCTAGAAGCCTATCCCACCTCACCTATAGAGAGTCTACATGTAGAGGCAAATGAACCCCCATTACAACTAAGAATGGAGAAACTAGCAACTCAATACTAAAACTCTCTTCCTGTCCTTCTAACCCCACACACGATTGTGTACTTACACCAAATCACAAAGAGAAATTTAATCTTAACACAAATAAAATCAAAACATTGGGACTCCGAATGGAAGGAATCATCCAAGAAAATAATATACAGTCTAATCAAATACTTAAAACCAACCAATCAAACATACCACCATGGATAATCAAAAATCCAAACATAATATTAAGTTTAAACAAATTATCAAAATCAAAAACACACCCCACAACATACATTGAAAAATTTTCAAAAATAAAAGAAAAATATCAAAAATACGAAAGTATTTACACGGACGGCTCAAAAGACGAAGAAAAAACAGGCAGCGCAGCAATAACAAAAAAAACAATTATCAAAAAACGCTTGCCAAATGAAGCATCAATTTTCAGTGCAGAAGCCTACGCAATAAAACTAGCACTAAATTTCATATCAAAAAACAAAGGAGAAAACTATATTATTTTCTCAGATTCATTATCTGTATTAACATCCCTAAAAGGGAAAAGACTGGAAAATCCATTAATACAAAGTCTTCTATATAAACTACATTCAATGGAAAAAAGCAAAAATATCATCTTCTGCTGGATTCCTAGCCATGTTGGCATCCAAGGAGGAGATAAGGCAGATACTGCTGCTAAATCATCTTTAAAAATGACAATTGATGAAAATCTTCAAATTCCATATACAGACTTAAAATCTAAAAATAAATAAATACATAAGAAACAAATAGCAAAATTCATGGAAAAACCAAACCGGAAATAAACTATTTCAAATTAAACCTAAAATAGGAAAATGGGGAAATAATCTTGGAAATACTCGGAAAAAACAAGTCGTCATAACCAGAACACATATAGGACACACATATTTAACCCATTCTTATATATTAAAAAAGACAAATCCACCAAAATGTAGATGTGGAAGCCTAATCACAATAAAACATATTCTATTGGAATGCAAAATCATAACTAGAATAAGACAAAAATATCTCAATGGAAAAGATTTTTTTCAAAAACACAGAAATTTTTTCAAAAATACAGACACAGAAAAAATATACAGTTTTCTCAAGGAAATAAAAATATGATCCTCAATAAAAAATATAACCCTTTCAAATAGTGTATGTATGTGTATATGTGTTTATAATACATATATATGCATGTATGAATGTAAATATTAAAATACACAATCAAAAACAGTCACAAGAAAAAGCAATCCCAAAAAATAGAAGATTATGAAACCCAACAGCCTTTCAACCTTTTATACAAAATAACCATCTTAAATTCATAAATTAATAAGGCTTTGGTGGAAGTGTCCTGCATTGCTTGCATAAATTGACCCAAATAGGAGTTGACATGAGTCACTAGTCTGCAAATTGAAGGAGAGTGTGTTATCAATGATAATGTTCTGATTTCGAATCCACGGTTATCTCCCTTTAACCCCCCCTCTCTCTCTGATTATTCTCTATTGTTGTCTACATAAAAATTCAACTGGGTTAGAGGACCTTTTGCAAATTCAAGCTGTTTGTATATTTGTTATATAGCTGTTGTAATAATTGTATGATTAAATTCTCTTTGTTGTAGGAAAAACTAGCAGCAACAGCTAATGAAATCAAAAGTCATTTTATCAACAAAGACCAGGTAAGTCATTCCAGTTGTTTAATTTCCTTTCTTTTGAATTGAGTATTAACCATAAATTATCAAAATATTACAAATATCTTGTGAATTTTCATTACAGAAAGTGACTTATGCTTCTGTCGACTTGACTGGAAAGTTTGAAGATGCTAATGCAGCTGTGGAAAAGGTATGTGTTATTAAATTTCTTAAAAATTTTATCAACCTGAAGACCTCATTTTCTTTGACTCAAAATCTAGTTTAGAATACCATACCATTACCATGTTGAATTGCAAAATTTGCCATGACTTGGAAAATCTCATTTGCATCATTTTTATATAGAATTATTATGTAAGCTTAGCTTAGTCTAGAACTAGGCCAAAAATATGGGAGTACCCAATGAGAATTGAACACATTACAGCAGTAGTAATGGTCTGCTAGTTTGCTAACCTCTACTTCATGGTAAAGTACCAAGAGTTTGTCTGGTATAAAGCTACAGTGAGGATTGAACTTGTTACCATAGTAATTGATTGCAAGGCTAACATGCTAATTATGATTTGATATGTCTTTATATATACTAATAAAAAAATAAGCAAAATACTATTTTTTCCACTAACACCAGTAAATAAATTCAATAATAAAGAACTAAAAAAGCTCTTTGTAAAGATAGAATGGTGTTGCCATAAGTACATTAATATTTTGTTGTATAATATTTCTCTACATTAAATTGCAATTATCTCATTTCTCTGTTCAGCATGTAAAAATGATATTTTACATTTTGGAGCTGGTTTAGTGGATGAGTTATGTAATTCTTACCTGCACCTGGGATCAGTATTAAAGCCCAGGATTTTGAATGCTGATTTTTTTAAGGTAAGCAGGCCTTCCTCACTTGCAAAATGGGCACAACAGTATCTACCAAACTACACTAAATATCTATATATTAATTTACTTTTCATTAATTAGTAAATGATTAATAGCTCATATTGCAATTTACTGACATCCATTGATATATTATCCTATTTTAAAGAAAGCAACTATAAATTGGGTACTTCTACAGTTTTGTAGCTTATTTTTCCCAATAAATAAATAACATTTTCTTTCTTAGTATTACCAAAATTTCCAAAGGAATTTTATCATTCCTTCTCTGCATCTTGATTAGGGATGGATATTTTATACTAATACCAGATGTCTGTAAAAATCAGGAAGGCTTGCTATTTCGATGGCTGCAATTGGTACAAGATGACCTTTCTCAAGCAATCTTTTGAACTTATTTATTAATTTCTATAAATTTAAATGATTTGTTATATTAGGCATGGGTTTATTCAAGTAAATACATTATATTAACCAGAAAAACAAAAACATGTTAATATTCAAATAAATATGCCTTAAGTTTCCAATGAAATAAAAAATAAAAAATAAAAAAAAAACAATATCGCATTTTGGTTTCATGCACTCAGAGATGTATAAAGTAAGAAATTCTTTCATGATATTTTTAAAATGTTAAAATAACATCTTAAATTAGCAATATCTGATCTATTTGTCTGTCTTGTATTTTTCATGCCTGAAAGTGAAATATGGATCATATTACCCACAAGAACTTAACAATCTTTCAAGTTTCTTAAACATAGCAAAGATCAGTATATTAATTTGGAGGTGAAGGTAAAAACATGGGAACTTACAAATGCATATATTTTAGTTGATTTTTTTTATTTTTAGAAGCATTATTTGAGAATAATGTACAAGAAACTGGTGTACAAAAATGTCTTAGAAAAGTGAAATTAATATTCAGCTAATTAGCTTAACAATCCATTTTAAAAGATGGATTTTCCTGTATTGAATTTTTCTTTTCCACAAGGTTATCAAAGAACAAAAAAAAAATGTTGATATTCTGGTGAATTGTGCTGGTAATTCTTTGAGTGCCCAATTTGAAGATACAAAAATTACAGATTTCAAGGTAATTTATTTTCAGAATTATTTTTTTTTTTTTTGAATTTCCATAGATTGTGATTGAATCCCAAATAAACATTTATTCATTATTAATTTTGACTCATTTTTATTTTCATCATATTTACATCTTCCATTTGTAGTGACAGTAATTTTCTTAATATTTATTTTCTTTTGTAGTTTATGATGGATGTGAACTATTTCTCTGCTGTCTTTGCTACCCAAGCTGTAGTGAAAACCATGAAAAAGAATGGCCAGGGATCCATTGTGTTTGTCTCTTCCCAGGCTGGTCAGTTGAGTTTCTATGGCTACTCTGCCTATTCTGCCTCCAAGTTTGCCTTGCGTGGATTAGCAGAAGCCTTATGCAGTGAGGTCAGTTTTATCAATTCTCTCACTATGCAATTTGTGTAATGTAACTGTCTTTTCCCTAAGGTAATTTGCATCATGCAATCTTCACCAGTATAGAGCAATTTTATGATCTCTATAGGGTATCATTTTACCTTGATTACTCAAGTCTTCTTTGATTTTAGGAATCTTGGCTTTTCTTGTAGGTGGTATACTCTGTATAATTTCAATCAGAAGCCAGTTTTTGGGGAATGTTTTAGATGAAAATGTTTTCTTTATCATAAGGTTGGAAGGTCATTAGGGCAGTATTCTGTGTCATAACATAGCTGGTCAATGTAGGTAGTTGCTGGGTGGCCAACCCATCTTGTTCCATAGCTAGGCTTGCCAACAGTCCTGCTAAGTGTATTCTGCATTTGCATGAGATTGTAGAAATATCAACAGGGGGTCCTTTTGTAATGCCCTTTGTAAATCACAGCTACAATAATAATAACTCTAATTCCCATATATATATATATATATATATATATTTTTCTTTACCCATCACGTGATTTAATTATTTCAAGATGAGGTCAACTGTGCTTGTTTCAAACCCAAGTGTCAGCAATGACACTTCATTCCTATATGACACCCTCTCGTTTGAGATGACTTCAATCTGGAGTTTATATTTCTTCAGTTTCAGTTCAATATTTAGAAATTCTGTTGCTATTCTTTTTCTCTTACCATAAAACCTTGGTTCAACAATTTCTGACGGAGTAGGTACGTCAAATATGTCATACAAAATTTCCGTAGGTACTTCTTTTTTGGAAACTTTTTAAATTGGTGAATCTGTTTTAACTGATTAAGGTGTCACTTATGTTCCCACTTTTGTCCTGGTACCGTGTATGTCATTTTGCCAAACCGTTTTTTTATAACTCCATCTTCCCAGAATTCTTTCCCTACATTTTTACGTTTTAAAAAATATCTTATCTCCAGGTTTGAAGTGTTTACTTATATTGTTATTTCTTGATGCTCTTGCCTTACATTAAAATAAGTAAAAACCAGTACAATAAGAATAAAGGTACAGTTAGGCACAAGGTCATTGCAAGTCAATCCAGTAGTGAGTGCTACTATTGGAAGTTCGGTAGTTCTCGTGTAAGTTTGATTCGTACTCAACAGATCCCAGCTAGTCTCTGTAGTCCATTGATTTACAGATACTTATAGGTAGTTACTACCTATAGTGTAGTCATTCATGGGAGTGACAGGTTATTCCATTATATCACCTCCCTCCAAGCTGAAATTTTCCTCTAGAAAATTTAGCTTTCTAATACTTTCTCTTTTTCGGTTCTGGACTTAACTGCACTGTGGGTTTTCTTTTCCGTGTACACTTTCGAGATGAATAACATCTCAATTCTACATGCAAAGCTGGTGTAGGAGATGTATCCATGTGTTCTGGTATGTTAGTGGGTGGTGTTATTTCAAACATGTCGTACAGGACATCCATCGGAATTTCTTCATCCTGTTGAATGATTTGGTCTTAATTGGTTTACCTGCCTTTTGCATACACGTCTTTTTTTCTTTCACCGTATAGATTACCCTTCCAAATCTATAAGTCCATCCTCCCAAAAACATTTTCCACCTTGGTAGTTCCTGAAGAAAACTATACTTCTTGGCAGAGAAATTCTCTTTGTTATGCATTTTCTTTTTTGGACAAGGCAACGATCTGTCAAATATTTATCTTATCTTTCTTGCAAACATCAATTCCACAGGTGACAATTTTGCTGTATTGTTTGCGTTCGGTGTTACCCTGTATACTGCTAAGAATTTCTGTATAGCTTTCTCCTCTGTGTCTACACCTTGATTTTTCTTTAATGCTTGTTTGAACATTTCCACAAATTTTTCCGCTTGTTCACTTGACCCTGGGTAGTAAATCAGAGTTGTGACATGTTCAATGTCCAGTGAAGCACAGAAATCTAATGAAGAAAATGGAACATTTCTTTTAGGTCTGAAAATCGGTGTAACATTTTCTTTTATCTCAAATTTTACCTCCGTTTTCAAACACATATCCAATACTTCAGAGAAAACTTTGAGAAATTTGTCCTTCAACACATCCATGAATATTTCTGTTTTAATTTTTTCTTTTCCCAGGTGTTCACCTGATTACAAAAAGAGTTTACGGGCAATTCCTATAGATTAAATAGTACAATCCAATCTATGCCAAAAAGGCAGGAGTTGTTCCCTTTATGTACGTAGACTTTTGACCTGAATGTCTTATCACAAAACGAAACGTTACGTTTAAGTTCACCTTTCAATTTGAGTGTTTTTCCTGAAATACCTCTGGCAATTTTGTTCGTGTTAGTCAATTTTGGTCGACCTATTTACCTCCATGTCTGTCAATTATACTAATATCAGAACCTGATATTTTTTGCTTTTACTTGCTGAACTTTGAAGACATTCCTCTATACGAGTATTGTCTTGTTTTACATTAATCAAACGCTGACACTCTTCAGTAACTGTTTGTGAAGTAATCTCATCGTCTTTTTCAATTATAGTAAGATTCCGTGACTTGATATCCTTGTCTTTGGGAGCTGTTAGTCCCTGAACAAATATTAGACATTTGAATAAATCTTTCAAAATCTCGTCAATTTTGAAAAGTTCATATAATGAGCTAACCGTCCCAGCATACAATAAAAAATCCTCATTTTCTGACTTAACAATATTAAGGCATTTGTAATGTGTGTGTGTGGAACAAGCTATCTCTTTCATCGAATATCCTTGATAATGTTTTAACTGTTTCTTCAAATGAGACTTCTTCCGGTTTCTTTGGTAATGTTAGGTTAGAGTATCTTGTATTTTCATCCATCCCCATTTTTTGTAATAAAAGGGTGACTTTTTCCTCATCTGACCAGTCTTGGCATCTATTTGTAAATATAGATTCGTATCTTCTAAAATATGACGGGAAGGTAATCCCATTATCCGGGTCATAATGAAATTCCATTAATGAATTTGCAATACCTTTTGGCAGAGAAAAAAAACTAGTTTTTTGTTCTCCAGTTTTCGTCATTAACTTTTCAAAAAGTTGAAGTTGTTGGTTTTGCAACTGTTGTATTTGCTGTTGTTGTTGCTGAACACTAGTGTACATTTCATAAGCTCTGTTAATTGTTCCATACTTTAGTTCAACAAGTCTTTCAGGAAAACGAATGACAGACAAGAAAAAACATAAAAAAAATACTCAACCATTGCTTTTTGCCTTCTAATAAACTCAAATTACTCGTGTAATTTTGGAATAATAGGCTGGGAACATTAGTAAGTTCAATAAGAGAAAGAAAAAAATTTTTTTTTTTTTTTTTTTTTAAAGCAAAGAATACAACAAAAATATTCTTACTTTTAAAAGATTTTACGTAATAAATCTTTTTTCAGAATGTCTTCCTCTGATTGTAAAATGTTATAATATCTTAAGGTGTTGTCTTACTTTGAAACTCCTGTAAACCAAATGTATAGCTGACATCAGGTAATAATTTATTAAAAATGGACTTAATCTTCCTGGCGAACATCAACTCTGCAGGTGATATTCCTGACACAGTATTTGGGCTTGGTGTTATTCTGAAAACACTCAGAAATTGTTGTAGCATTACTTCATCTGAATCCTCTCCTTCCAACTTTTTTTAGTGCCCTTTTAAATGTATCAACAAACCGTTCTACTTGGCCATTTGATCTTGGGTGGTAAGGAGGAATTTAATGCTAACGATTTACAGAAAACCTTAAATTCACTAGACGTGAATTGTGTCCCATTATCTGAACAAGATTTTTGTAAGGTTTGGTGTGAACTTTGCAAAACTCTCATATAGGAAATTTATTGTTACCGTGGCAGTTGGTCTTCTACATTTTAATATTTCTGGCCATTTAGTGTAACTATCGACTACCCTAGATAGTATGCTCCATTTAACAGTCCTGCAAAGTCTGTATGTTGTTTGAACTATGACATTGGTTTTCAGCAAAGGTTGAACTTTGATAAGTGGTGACTTTGCTGCCAGAGCACAACCTCTGCATGATTTCACTAAATTTTCGATATTTTGTTCAATTTTTGGCCAATAAGTATAACACCTCATTAAGGATTTCATTCCAGTGAAATTCTTTTAGTATACGTTTTTGCAACGATGCTGGTATCACATTCTTTCTGCATACATAAGTACATTATTACATAATAAAAACTCATTATTTCCAGTAATATTTTTTCCTTTTAAATCTTAATTGCTTTTTCATTATAAAATCATCTTTTTCTGACTTAATTCTTATTTCCTCTAATGTTATGGGCAGTTCTCTTACAGTATTATTAATTTCATTTTCAACCCTTATCGCCGCAGTTACTGTGTCCTCAAGTGGTTTGCAGAATTTTGGTATTGGTCTATAGTCAACCTGAATCTTTAATTTAGGGTGAAAATGTGCTATTGACAAATCCAAAATTAACACTTTCTTGATCTATTTGAAAGCACTTTGATATTTATCTGACCAATTCCATTTCACATCTTTCTTTAGCAGGTTATTCAAAGGTGCTCTTAATTTGTGCATGTTTGGTGTGTGTGTGTGTGTGTGTATATATATATATATAGTAATTAGCAAACCTTAAAAATGCTTGTAACTTTGTTACATTTGTTGGCGTGGGCATGTCATTTATTGTGTTTGCCCTTGAAACTTTGGTCATCTACCATTTTCATCAATAATTTGTCCTAGATATTTAAGTCTGGACATAAACAATTCACATTTTCCTTCACTGATCTTAAAACCATATTCTTTACATCTTCTGTATGTTGCTTTCAGGTCTTACTTTTATTAAGTACATCATCTACTTGTGCACAATCCAAACTGGCAACATGGTATCCATAATCTGTTGGAATATGCTTGGTGCTACCTTTATACCGAAATGAAGTCTGTTAAATTTGTATAATCCTCTATGTGTTAACTGTTAATAGTTTTGGGCACTCTTTGTCTACTAGTACTTGTAGGTAAGTGCCTGACAGGTCCAATTTAGAAAAAAAATTGCCACCATTTAA